TATGGGCCCCTGCATCTGTGTGGGAGACCTAGAAGAAGTTCCTGGATGCTGGATTTGGATTGGCACAGCTCAGGCCATTGTGGCCATCTGGGAAGTGAACCAGCGGATGGAAAACCTCTCTCTCTCTTTCTCTCTCTCTGCCTCTCCTCTCTCTGTGTAACTCTGCCTTTCAAATAATAAATAAATATTAAAAAAAGAAATGTATCTCAATAAAATAAAGGCCATAAATGACAAGCTCACAGCTAACACCACAGTCAACAGTGAAAATTTGAAAACTTTTCTTCTCAGGCAGACATTGTGGAATACTGGGTAAAGTCACCATCTATATGCCAACCTCTCATATGGAAGACACCCTCCCTGCCTCTCCTCTTTCTGTGTAACTCTAACTTTGAAATAAATAAATAAATCTTAAAAAAAGAAAATAAAAACATTTCCTATAACAACAAAAAATACAAGGATGTCTACTCTCATCACTTCAATTGTGTATAGGACTGAAACATCTAGTGGGAGCAATTAGTGACAAAAAGAAATAAAACTGGAACTTAGATATTTAGAAACCCTAATGATTCCATGAGAGAAAGCTATTCAGTGTCCTGGATTGTGTAGCATGTCAAGCCATTGTTTGTGTTGTCAGCTTTCCATTTCAGAGCACCAGCTCTAATCCCAGCTGCTTTGTTTCTGATCCAGTTTCTTGCTAATATGCCTGGGAAAGCAGCAGAGGATGGTCCAAGCCTTATGTGCTTGATACCCAATGTAAGAGACAATGATGTATTTTCTGGCTGCTGGCTTCAGCCTGCCCCAGATCTGGCTGTTGTAACCATTTAAAAAATAAACTCTCTCTCACTCTCACTCTCTCTCCTCATCTGTCTCTGCCTATTTCAGAGTCTCCTGCTTTTAAGACAAACAGGGACCAGCACTGTGGCAGAGGAGGTTACGTGGCCTCCTGGAATGACAGCATCTCATATGGATACCAGTGTGGGTTCCATCTGCTCAGCTTCCATTCCAGTTCTCAGGTAATACACCTGGGTTAAGCAAAGGTCCAAGTGTCTGGGCCCCTGAAACCATGGGAGAGACCTGGAAGAAGCTCCTAGCTCCTGGCTTTGGCCTGTCCCAGCCCTGGTTATTGCAGTTCATGTGAGAAGTGAACCAGCAGATGGAAGAACTGATTCTCTCTCTCTGTAACTGCCTTTCAAATAAATAAATCTTATAGCAAGCAAACATAGCAAACAAATATTTTTCAAGATTTATTTCATTTATTTGAAAGGCAGAATTATAGGGAAATAGAGAGAGAGAGAGATCTTTGATTCTGGTTCACTGCCCAAATGTCTACAGTGGCATGGCTGGGGAGCCAGAAGTATAGGTTGCAGAGGCCCAAGCACCTGAACCATCTTCCATTGATTTTTCCAGTGCATTAGCAAGAAGCTGAATAGGAAGTAGAGGAGCCAGGACTCTCTAACCAGTGCACACATGGTATGTCCAAATGGCAGGTGGTGGCTGGACTATAATAGATATATCTTTAAAAAGAAAAATAAAAACATTAAATCAAAAAATGAATTCCATAGAGTTGCAGGATACAAAATCAACCAGTAATTCTGCTACATCAAAAATGTTTGAAGCAATGCAGATTTATCTTGGAGAAAGACAGACTGAAAGATTAATGCCTTACTAGTGAATAAATGTGGAATCTGATGTTTCAGAGTAAAAAATGGAAGCATTTGAATGTGTATTATTTCCTAGGCTGCCATAAAAAAATAGGTGACTTAAAATAACAAAAATGGTTTGGGCATTTAGCCAAGCATTTTTCTGCCTCCTACATCAGTGGGACTAGTCTTAAGTCCAGGCTCCACTATCACATCATATCCAACTTCCTGCTGATGTGCATCCCTGGGGGCAGCAAGTGAGGCTGGATCTTGCTACCTATGTGGGAAACCAAGATTGACTTGCAAGCTCGTGGCTTTGACCTGGCCCAGCCATGGCTACTGTGCGTTTAGGGAGTAAATCAGAGGATGGTTTCTCCCTCTCATTCTCTACCCCTCTACCCTTCTCCCTCCCTCCTTTTCCCCTTTCAAAATTAAATAAATATATAAAAATATGGAATAAAAATATATTCTTTTTCTCTTCTGGAGGCCGGAAGTCTGATATCAGGGTGTCAGCAGGGCCATGTTCCTTCTAATGGCTCTGGAGAAGAATGCCTCCTTGCCTCTTTCTAGCTTTTGATGATTGCCTGCAAGCATTGGCATTCAGTGGCTAGAAGCTGTATCTCTCTAATTTCTGCCCCTGTTGTCATTCTCCTTTCTGTGTATCTTCATAGGGCTTTCCTTTTTTTAATATTTTATTTTATTTATTTGATGGGTAGAGTTACAGACAGTGAGAACCAGAGACAGAGAGAAATATCTTCTCTTCCATCTGCTGGTTCACTCCCCAAATGGTGGCAATGCCAGAGCTGGGCTGATTTGAAGCCAGGAGTCAGGAGCTTCCTCCAAGTCTCCCACATGGGTGCAGGGGCCCAAGGACTTGGGCCATCTTCTACTGCTTTCCCAGGCCACCAGCAGAGAGCTGGATTGGAAGAGGAGCAGCCGGGACTAGAACTGGTGCCCCTCTGGGATGCCAGTGCCACAGGTGAAGATTAAACTTCTGTGCCACAGCACTGGCCCCTATATGACCTGCTTAAAAAAACAATACATATTGGGGGCCAGCACTGTGGTGTAGCAGGTAAGGCTCCCACCTGCAGTGCCAGCATCCCTTATGAGCACCACTTCAAGTTCTGGCTGCTCCACTTTTGATCCAGCTCTCTGCTGTGGCCTAGGAAAGCAGTAGAAAATTACCCAGGTCCTTGGGCTCCTGCCCCCATGTGGGAGACCTGGAAGAAGCTCCTGGCTCCTGGCTTTGGATCAGCAGAGTTCTGGCCATTGTGGCCATCTGGGGAGTAAACCAGAAGATGGAAGACCTCTCTCTCTCTCTCCCTCTGTCTCTCTGTAACTGTGCCTTTCTATTAAATAAAAAATATTTTAAAAATACACATTAAATTTAGGGCCCATTCTGATCTTGGATGATCTTGGCTTAGCTACTTACATATGCAAAGATTCTATTTCAGAATAAAATCACATTCTGAAATTCCAGGTATATTTGAGGGAAATAATATTTAACCCAGCAGAGTTTAATTTGCAAATCCAAACAACAAACAAACCAATTTAAGAAACAATAAGAAAGACAACATGACACCCCCAAAAGAACAGCATTTCAGTACTAGATTGTGAAGATGATGAGATGGAAGAAAATCAAGAAATGGAATTCCAAAAATTGATCATAAGATTACACAGAAGTAATCAGAAGCAAATGCTGGTTTTTTGAAAAAATAAACAAAATTGATACACCATTGGACCAACTAACCGAAAAAAAAAAAAAAGAGAAGACTCCAATCACTAAAATTAGAGATGAGAAAGGAATTGTAACAACAGACACACAAAAATAAAAAGAATCATCAGAAATTACTACCAAGAGCTGTATGCCAACAAACTGGGAAACCTTGAAAATGAACAGATTCCTGGACACAACAAACCTACCTAAATTGAGCCATGAAGACATAGAAAACTGAAACAGACCCATAACGAAGACAGAAATTGAATCAGTTATAAAGGCCCTCCCAAAAAAGAAAAGCCCAGGACTGGATGGCTTTGTTGTAGGCAGAGAGAGAGAGAGAGAGAGAGAGAGAGAGAGAAAGGTCTTCCATCTGCTATTTCACTCCCTAAATGGCCTCAATGGCCAGAGTTGAGTCACTTAGAAGCCAGGAGCCATGAGCTCCTTCAAGCTCTCCCATGTAGGTGCATGTCCCAAGCATTTGGGTCATCTTCCACTATTTTCTCAGGACACAAACAGAGAGTTGGATTAGAAGATAAGCAGTCAGGACACAAATGGGAACCCATATGGGATGCTGGCATAACATGCAGAGACTTAGCCTATGTCACATCACCAACCCCCAAAAGATTTGCATTTTAAGAGCCAAACTCTGGAAGGAGAATAGAGACATAGAGAGGAAGAACTAGAGGAGAATTAAAAAAAGAGACCTGACTATTAACTATTAGACAGAGTAGTAAGAATACTGAACAGAAAAGACAGGAAACAAGAACACAATTCAGTACTAATTGGTTGGGCAAAAGATCAAAAGTAGAGTTCAATTCCATGATGTATGCACAAAAGACTGCGTAGACACTGGCACAGGATATTGAAATTGGGGAAAAAGTCAACAAGAATATGATGAAAAGAAGTGAGACTGAAATTGGACACATTGTGTTTGAAGTCTCTGTTGTTAATTATGTCAGGATCAACAACGGGCAAGTAGAAATGTGAGGTAGAGCTCAGTGTAGAGATCAAAGTAACAGAATTTCAGTGATCAGAGTGAATGAAACATCATAAAGAACAAGATAATATACAGTGGAAAAGGAATGTGAACAGGATCTGAGGAAACTCTGACATCTACGGGTAGGGAAGGACATAATAAGAAAAGGACAGGAAAGAAGGAATTTTAATGTTATTCCAGGGATAATGAAAATCTCAATATTAAAAAATCTGGGGCAGCTATGTGGCATAGTGGGTAAAGCCACTGCCTGCAGTGCCAGCATCTTGTGTGGGTGCTGGTTCAAGTCCCGACTGCTCCACTTCCAATACAGCTCTCTGATCTGCACTGGGAAAGCAGTGGAAGATGGTCAAGTCATTGGGGCCCTGCACCCACATGGGACACCTGGAAGATTTCCTAGCCCCTGAGTTCAGATTGATCCAGGTCTTGCCCTTGTGGACATTTGGGGAGTGAACCAGTGGATGGAAGACTTCCCTTTCCTCTACCTCTGCCTCTCTGTAACTCTTGTGTTTCAAATAAATAAATCTTTTAAAAAAAATTTATTGGGTACCCCGGCCCGTGGGGTAATTAACTAGGACACGAGGAGGGCAGACCTGAATGGAGAGACAAACCAGACACGAGAAGGGAGACCAAGACAGTATTCTGATCAAGGTCCCACTTTATTGGAGAAGGAGGCAGCTTATATAGTACAAGGCAAGGATTGTGGCAGTCGAGGGCAAGCAGGGGTCATTTTACAACATAGTTTGAAGGAATGGTTTTACAGGAGTTTTAAATCAACATCAGCTTGACAAGGGGAGTTACCGTGGGGTTTTACAGCCACCAAATACACTTATCAAGATACAAGAGGTCATGAGGTCAGGGGGCACTGAAGCCAGAAGGCCAAGTGCCAACCATTATCAGTGATCTGTACAAATGGAGCTTTCTAGTGATTTGTAGTTGAAGGTTAATCTAAACAGAGGTGTATACAGGGAAACCAGCACAGTGACTCCCAACATCTTCCCCTTCTTTGTATATAGCAAGGTGAGGTTACATGTCATTAGCGCTATACCGCTACGTTTTTGTGAGCGGTGCTGTTTTTTATTTATAATGAAGCAAACAATGGTGCCTGTCTTAGGTTGTGGGATTTACCAGCACATTCTTACCCATCATCAGAATCCATTGTTATTGATGAATCCCTGTCTTAGGTTGATACGTGCGGCAACCCATTTTACCCGTCATTGACTACCCACCATCTTATCTTCTGAGGGAATTCCAATGCCTAGTCAGAAAATACACAAAACACCTGCCGACAAGACCAGCTGTAAGGAGGTGTATGAGGAAGATTACAATCCCCACAAACAGTTCTTTAAGCCAGGAGAAATTTGGCAGCCAGGATGTAAGCCAATTAAATAAGCTCTCGGACCCTTTGTCTTGAGTAAAGTGAGAAGCAAGTTCTGTGAGTTTTTGGATTTCAACAGCAATACTATGAGAGTTATCAGTAAGATTAAAACAACACATATTTTTAACTTGATTGCATTTTTTGTGATGTAATAAGAGAAGATAATCAATGGCTGCACGATTATCTAGAATACCTTGCTGTAATACTTGTTGTTCTTCGTTTAACAAAGACAAGGCTGTTGAGGTACTATTAATATTTTTTACCATAGTGCATGCAAGTTTTGTAACAGTATTATAAGCACCTAAAGCTAAACCAGGAACCCCTACTAATGAAAAGGCTAGAGCGTCTACTTCTTCCTTTGAGAGCAGATTTACTGCATCATCACAGGATGGATCTAATTGGTGTAAAGATTGACTCTTATGCCGATTACGTGTGGTATTCTTATAGTCTAACATCTCAGGGGAAGGAAGAAAGACAGTTAGTCTGCTAAGGCAACAATGAATCCCATCAGAAATGTTAGCAGGGATATAATTAAAAGTAAAATTACCGCAGGAGAAAAACCAACCTTCTGGCAACAGAATATGTCCAGTGCCATAAGATATTTTTTGAGTCTTATTACAATGTAATCCATTACCCAATTTTTTACATTTTGTGGTACAATTTTTTATCACTGCACAAGTGTCATTTTTTGACACAGCCACATGAGGCGTCATTAACTGAATTATGTCCTTAGGTAATTTATAAGACGGAGTTCCCCAATTGTATGAGTCTGCATAAGAAACAGTCTTGCTTGGGAATTGTGAGAAGAAGGTAAGATTTTTAATCTCTTCGGCTGGATGACAAACAGGCAGCAGACAGGATCCCAAGATAGCTCCTATGTGCACATCCTGCTGGAGGCAGATATTATCTGATCCTGTGATATCTGCAAGTCGTATCCAAATATTATCATGTTTCAGGGGAACACCACAGATGATCACAAGACTGGAGAGGAAGATTAAGATTTTCATCTTCTCTGAGGTGGACTTAAATGCTATCAGGAAAAATGGCAGAGTCTTCAGGATACCTGAAAAGAGAAGGAGAGTAACCTCAGGAATAAGGGCTTTTCCTGGGTTTATTAGTTAAGATAATTACAGGGTGAGAAACCCATTAGGGTGTAAGAGCATTGTCAGGAAGGTGTTTGTTTTGACAAGGGAAATCTTCAATAGGCCTTATCAAACGTTCAGGCAACCATCAGGCAGCATTTTCTTTGTTGTCAAACACACAAACAGATCCTCTTCCCCATATTAGCACAGGATGGAGCCATTCCATTTTGAAGTGAGAGGATCTTTCCACATGACTGTTGCATATTGATCCACTGACTGCGCATGCCAGAAATGATCAGCTGCAGTCTTGCCCTTATTATCAAGTGTCAAAAAGTTTAATACAAATAACGCATGATGGAGAACATTTTTAGGCATTCCTAAAGTGGGATACAAAGTCTGTGTTTTGAGGTTTTGAAGCATGTTTTTAATTGTTTGATGAGCTCGTTCTACAATGCCTTGTCCCTGGGGGTTATATGGAATTCCTGTAATATGCTTAATTTGGAGCTGTTTATAGAAACATTGAAAATTTTTCCCGGTATAACCTGGGCCATTATCCATTTTAATTGTCTTAGGTTTTCCCATAACTGCCATACAATTGAGTACATGTGCAATAACATTTTCAGAGGCTTTACCAGGGTGGGCTGAAGCAAAAAGAAAATCGCTAAAGGTATCAATAGTAACATGAAGGTATTTAAGCTTACCAAAGGAAGGAATGTGAGTAACATCTATTTGCCATAGCTCATTAGGGACCAGCCCTCATGGATTGATTCCCAAATGAGGCACAGGTAGGAAAGTGACACAGTTTTGGCATTGCTTAACAATCTGTCATGCTTGTTCTCGAGTGATTTTAAAAAGAAGGCGAAGGGTTTGAGCATTAAGGTGATGTAGGGCGTGAGCCTCTTTGGCCCGAGTTAGCGAGTCAGCTTCCGCAAAAAATGTTAGTTGAGTGGCCTGATCTATGATCTCATTGCCCTTGGCTAAAGGGCCAGGGAGACCAGAGTGAGCACAGATGTGACATGCATAAAAAGAGGCAACTCTGGCATGAATATAATGTTGTATTAAAGAAAACAAAGGTGAAGTGTTAGTAGTTGGCTTGATATAAGGTACTGTCTCTAGCAGCGGAATAGATTGAGCAGTATAGGCACTATCAGTGTACAGGTTGAAAGGGGAGGAGGGAAATTGGATGAATACCTGCAGGACAGCAAGCAGTTCCACTAACTGCGCAGAGCGATATGGAGACATTAAAGTAGAAACCTTGCCATTAATGGAAAAGGCAGCTCGTCCATTAGAGGAGCCAACCGTGAAAACAAGGAGGGCATTGGAAAGGGGTTTTAGGGAGGTTCGTACTGGAAAAACAACAGGCTGATATCGTAGAAACTGAAGGAGATTGTCAGCAGGATAATGATTACCCAAGTTTCCCATATACGATATGCAAGAGACTGCCCAGTCATCATCATTTTGAATGAGCCATTGAATCTGTGCAGAGTTATATGGTACAATTATTTTATCTGGGTCCTTACCAAATATTTTTCTACTGTGTTCTCTTCCCATTTTGATAATATTAGCCACCCAGGTGGTATAAGGCATTAAAACTTTAGAGAGAGCAGCAGGTAGATGTACCCAATAAAGAGGTTCTTTTTGCCAAAAAACTCCAGTAGGTGAAAAGCTAGTAGCACATATAACAAACTGTAAAGGCTGATTGTAATCAATAAAGGTGATTTGTTGATTAGAAATAGCTGCTTCAACTTCAGAACGCGCTTCCTGAGCAGGGGCATTTAAAGAGCGCTTGGAAAGGGGATCGGAGTCTCCTGTTAGGATGTCGAACAGAGGTTTAAGCTCACCTGTGGTCAATTTTAAGTAGGGACGGAGCCAATTAATGTCACCCAAAAGTTTTTGGAAGTCATTTAGAGTTTTAAGGTGATCAGTTTTAAGATGAACCTTCTGAGATAATACTTTATCAGTGAATAGCTCAAAACCCAAAAATAAGTATGGAGCCTTCAACTGAATTTTATCTGGTGCTATTTGAAGGCCTGCATCCCTTAGGGCTTTTGAGAGTTGTTGAGAAAAACAAAGAAGGCAATTAGAGTCTGGACCAGCAAGTAGAATATCATCCATATAATGGATTATATATATAGAAGAATCCTTTGATCTGAAGGGATCTATGACTTGGGCAACAAATTTTTGACACAAGGTGGGGCTATTGGCCATCCCTTGAGGCAAGACCTTCCATTGGAATCTGGGCATAGGACCTTTAAAATTTATTACTGGTAGGCTGAATGCAAAATATTGACGATCTTCTGGGTGAAGAGGAATAGTGAAAAAACAATCTTTTAAACCAATGACTATTTTATAATAACCTTTAGGAATAGCAACTGAAGTAGGAAGGCCATTTTGAAGGGCACCCATAGGGATCATAACCTTATTAATTTCTCTAAGATCTTGTAAGAGTCTCCATTTCCCCAATTTTTTCTTTATAACAAAAATTGGGGTATTCCAAGGAGAAGTGGTTGGTTCTATATGACCAGCAGCGAGCTGTTTCTGTACTAACGCTGTAGCTGCGGTCAGTTTTTCAGATGTTAGAGGCCATTGATCAATCCACACAGGCTCTGTTCTCACCCAAGAGATTTTATCTGCATGGCATACAGGCATGTCAATGGCCACTAAGGAAAATTTTTATAACCAATACCGGTGCAATCTGTTTTGATTTTAATTGTAACGGGAGTCACGCATCCTTGAGAGTTTTTTCCTAGTCCTTGGCCTGGGCGGTATCCCTGGTTAAGCATCTGTTGAGTAATTAATTCACTTGGGCTGCACATAAAAAGTTTCATCTGAGAAAGAATACTCTGCCCCATAAATTGACAGGCAGGCCAGCGACCACATAGGGCTGCACTGTGCCTTTGTTTCCCTCTTCATCTTCCCACGAAATTATCTTAGAACTTTGGAGAGGATTAATAGTTTGGCCTATTCCTTTTAAATGGGTTAAGGAAGGATCAAGTGGCCAAGCTGAAGGCCAGTCTTTACCAGAAATAATAGTGGCATCTGTTCCCGTGTCGACTAAACCCTCAAAAGTTTTTCCGTCCAGTTTAAGTTTTAACAATGGCCTTTTTTCGGTTATCTGACGCACCCACTATCAGAGGAACCAAAGCTTTGAGAAGATCTTTGTTTTTTATAACTGGGATTATCATTAAGGAGAGGCAGTAGTATTAATTGAGCTATTCTTTGTGCCAGAAGAATGGTTACAGGTCCCTGAGGAGCAGAGACCACAAGCTTAATTTCTCCAGTATAATCATTGTCAACAACACCTGGAGAGACATGGAGGCCCTGGATAACAGAACTTCCTCATCCTAAAACCAAACATTTTTGGAGGCAGAGGGCCGAAAATTCCAGTAGGCAAAATTTGAGTTCCGGATTCTGGGGTTAATACTGTGCAGGAGGTGGTACAGAGGTCCACTCCTGCACTTCCTGCAGTTGCCTGCATGAGGGAGGCAATATTTGTGGAGTTGGAGGCTGGGGGACAAACCTGACAGCCCCAGGGTTTGATCCCATTGTTGGTTTGGGCCCTGGGGCGGGCCCCTCATCCAGTTTCCCTGTTTCTGGGGCAGTGGGTTGCCTTGGATATCAGTTTTAGACTTATACTCAGATGCCCAATGTTTGCCTCTCTTACAACGAGGGCATAAGGAAGAGGGGACCGGCTTTTCTACTTTTGGGGTGGAACATTCCTTTTGAAAATGTCTGGGTTGTTTACAGTTAAAGCACAACCCTGAGTTTGATTTCCGGGACTGAAGTTGAAATGCGGCCCCAACCGCCAGGCCAATTTGAAGAGATACTGGATCGACATCCGAGCACAAACAAATGTAATCAGAAAGTGATTTACTTTGTCTATGAGGACGTAAAACTGCCTGACACGCAGTATTGGCGTTTTCAAAAGCCAGTTGTCGAACAAGATCACTATCTGTTTCTTTTGGGCCCATAAGTCTCCCAATGGCTTCTGTAAGGCGTCCCACAAAATCACTGAACGGTTCCTGAGCTCCCTGTCTTATTTTGGATATAGAAGAAACAATGAAGCCAGGAGATGGAAGGCCTTGCCAGGCCTGGGTAGCGGCATGTTGAATTTGCAGCAATAATCCTGATGGGAAAGAGCCTGTTTCTCATTAGTGTTAAAGGGATATTTTCCTAGAAGTTTGTCTAAGGTCCAGGTCTTACAATGGCCTCTAGAGGCCGTATTACGATCAGCAAGTCTTGACAGCGTTGTTTACATTCAGCTCTCCAAGACAGATACTGTCCCCTACTTAGGGAGGCGCTAGCCAACAATTCCCAATCATTGATAGTAAGCCAGTCCTCAGTTAGAGATTCCAAAAGTGATAATGTAAATGGTGCAGTCAGGCCATATTGAGAGACAGCACTCTTTAATTCCTTTAGATATTTATTTTTAAGGGTCGATACCCCTGCCCTTTGGTTAACTGTGGCTCTGTTTCCTCATCCTCTTCAGAGGAATCTTTTGCCTGAGAGGAAGGTCGCTCAGTTTGTCCCTCATCTTCATTTTCATTAGCCACATTATCCTCATCCTCGCCATGCCCCTCCTCAATATCTTCAATAGATCTAAGACCACGACCCTTTTGTTCCCTGAGAGATATTTTTATCTTTGACTGTGCTCTGGTTACCGGGAAGGCTTGCAGTGTGGGTCTGTGCGCCTCACCAGCAGATGACTCTTGCAACTCCAAGTCCAACAGTTGCAACTCCTTAATTAAGCTATTTTTCTCCTTTTTTTTGCTTGTAATAACATTCTAAGTTTATTGGCCTCATTTGTAACAGCCATAATAGCCTGACTAGTAACATCAGTAGTGCCAGGAAGAGAAGGTACAGAGGCCATTACAGGGGCAAGTAAAAGGGTGGGTGGTAACGTATTGAGGTGGCAGGACTGGAACAGGTGGCCAGTCTGGATCATGGTATTTAGTGGCTTCTTCTTCTAGGGAAACTTGATCCTCCTGGGGTAAAGGACCCCCTACTTTCTCCAAAGACTTAGAGAGTGCTGGGTAAATATGGGATTTTTGACTGAAGGGCTCCTCAGGTACAGGATTAGAGACTGAAGGGCATGGGGAGCAAGCCTTATTAAGTGAAGTCTGACTGTCCTTAAATTTCCTTTTTAAGAACGATTCTACATCCTCCACTGCCTTAGAGGCATCAGTGCGCAGATGATGGATCTGAAGAATATCGTTTATAAGGTTCCAATAGGAGAAAACCTGCACAGGAATTTTTTCAGGACCAAATGTATGATAATACTCTTTTAAACAACCGCCCACTCTTTGCCATTGTTTCTCATCTATCGTCCCCTCCCTCGGAAACCAAGGACACACGTCCTCTAGGAGTATAAAAAATGCTATAAGGTCTTTCGTTTTAACCCTGGCTCCTCGTGTCTTGAGTGATGCTTTTAACCCCTTCACAAAGAGTTCCTGCTTACTTAGTGTTTGCCCCATAGTTTCGTCGCTCCACTTACCCTCATAGCCCATATCGCAGACGGGTCAGCACGCGGTGGCCACTATGCAGGTCTTTACTCACCTTCTTCAGGCCCGTATCACAGACAAATTGTCAGTGGTGGCTGTTATGAGACAAGGCGGCGACCTAAATGAAACAGCCAGCTCTTCCAGCGACGTTCAGCTCAATTCCCATTCTTTGTGCCCCAAGTTGGGCGCCACTTGACCCAGCCTGCGGGGTAATTAACTAGGACACGAGGAGGGCAGACCTGAATGGAGAGACAAACCAGACACGAGAAGGGAGACCAAGACAGTATTCTGATCAAGGTCCCACTTTATTGGAGAAGGAGGCAGCTTATATAGTACAAGGCAAGGATTGTGGCAGTCGAGGGCAAGCAGGGGTCATTTTACAACATAGTTTGAAGGAATGGTTTTACAGGAGTTTTAAATCAACATCAGCTTGACAAGGGGAGTTACCGTGGGGTTTTACAGCCACCAAATACACTTATCAAGATACAAGAGGTCATGAGGTCAGGGGGCACTGAAGCCAGAAGGCCAAGTGCCAACCATTATCAGTGATCTGGACAAACAGAGCTTTCTAGTGATTTGTAGTTGAAGGTTAATCTAAACAGAGGCCTATACAGAGAAACCAGCACAGTGGCTCCCAACAATTGGGTATGTATGGTTTCAAGATTTCCAGGACCAAAAATAACTCTCATCTCAATTCTATTTCCCAAACATTTATGAAGTACCCCTGTCATATTTAATGATATTCAGAGGTCTACTGAAAAAAAATTCCATGATCATCAACAAAGACATTGAGAAAATATATTTTAAAATATATCTTTGGGCCGGTGCCGTGGCTCAATAGGCTAATCCTCCACCTTGCGGCACTGGCACCCCGGGTTCTAGTCCCAGTTGGGGCACCGGATTCTGTCCTGGTTGGCTCTCTTCCAAGCCAGCTCTCTGCTATGGCCCGGGGGTGCAGTGGAGGATGGCCCAAGTCCTTGGGCCCTGCACCCCATGGGAGACCAGGAAAAGCACCTGGCTCCTGGCTTCAGATCAGCGCGATGCGCTGGCCGCAGCGCACCGGCCACGCCGGCCATTGGAGGGTGAACCAACGGCAAAGGAAGACCTTTCTCTCTGTCTCTCTCTCTCACTGTCCACTCTGCCTGTCAAAATTTAAAAATATATATATATCATTGGCAAAAAATTATTTATTTAATGGAAAGTCAGGATTAGAGAGAGAGGAAGCGAGACACAGAGAGAGGTCTTCCATCTGCCAATTCACTCCCAAAACAGTCGCAAAAGCCAGGGCTGGAACCAACTGAAGCCAGGAGTCAGGAGGCTCTGCTGGGTCTCCCACATGGCTACATGGGCCCAGGGATTTGGACAATCTTCCATTGCCTTCCCAGGTGCATTAGGAGAGCTGGATCAGAAGTGGAGCAGCCAGACTCAAACTGGTACCCATAATGGATTCAGGCTATAGCTTAACCTTTAACTCTTGAAAAAAATTATTATTTGCACACAATTTATACCTGCAAGACTCAATGAAAACTACTATTTGTGTGGTTCAATAAAATAATATTTGAGCCAACATTGTGGTATAGCAGGTTAAGCCACTGCCAGCAACACTGGAATCCCATATAGGTGCCAGTACAAAGCCTCTCTGCATGACTTCCAATCCAGCTCCCTGCTAAGGTACCTCAGAAAGCAGAAGATGAGCCAAGGGTGTGGTCCCCTGTACCCATATAGGAGATATGGAAGATGCAGCCAGAATCCTGGCTTCCAACTGTCATAGCACCAGTCACTGCAGCCGTTTGTGTAATGAATCAGCAGATAGACTCTCTCTCCTCTTTCTGTAACTCTTCCTTTCAAATTAATAAATAAATCATTAAAAAAGATGAAATATGACCACTGCTGGACAAGTAACAAGAGTCAGAGTATTCTTATTTTATATATTATTGTTTAAGTTTGCCTCCTCCAGTTCTTACAAAAAGTACAAGCAATCCTTTGGGAATCAAGAGCAATCTGTCATCTCTAAAATAACTGATAACTGAAGGTTATGACAATGACAACCACTGTTAAATATGTGAATGGATTAAATAGACCCCAAGTAAATGCTTTCAAATGCTCAAAATTGGCCAAAGGAAAGGAGAATGAACTATACATAAAACATGATTGTAAAAAATCAAAAAAGGCAAGATTAAAATATCATGTCTCAAAAAGTTGACCCCATCTAAAATTATGAAAACATATATCTAAGTCCACTTTTTATTTTGTTAGAAGCAATGTTACTGACAAAAAGTATGGAGGGTTTAAGCTGTAAAGAGGCCAAGGGTGATACAGAGGAAACACACGCCTAAGCAATCTAACCCTGAGTCTTTGCCAATGGGTACAGTGTGGATTGCAGAGGAAGGTCACTGCAGAGGGCAGAGATATGTGCAGCAAGGGTGCATAATCAAGGCCTCAGTGAAGAGTGTCTCGTGTGTACTTAGAGTCTCTCCCTACTTCTGCCCCCAAAATGGGCAGATTGCTATGATTCCCCTCCATGCTCTAAGCCTCTACATGGGGTACACAGAAAGCACATAACTTATTTCTCTGTGAGCAGGTCTATGGACCAAGGGTAGCTACCTCTGGGGATAACAAGGGCGCCTGGCATTATTCAAGATTCTGGATTTGAGTGGAATATGGGACATTATGACTATTGAATTACACCATAAAATATGAGTATCATTTGGATTACCATGAGAAAAAAAGGAAAGTTGGGAACCCTATGAATGTCGAAAGAAAACAAAAAAGAGAGGTCTGAAGGTTAAGTTCTACTAAAAACAGTGCCACAATGAGAAATACAGATGAAAAAGATTATGAAGAACTGGTGCTGTGGTGTAGTGGGTAAAGCAGCTGCCTGCAGTGCTAGCATCCCATATGGGCACTGGTTTGGTGAGTCTTGGATGCTCCACTCCCAGTCCACTCTCTGCTATGGCCTGAGAAAGCAGTAGAAGATGGCCCAAGTCCTTGGGCCCCTGCACCCACGTCAGAGACCTGGAAGAGCTCCTGCTCCCTGGTTTCAGATGAGTGTAGCTCTGGCCGTTGTGGCCAATTGGGGAGTGAACCATCGGATGGAAGACTCTCTCTCTCTCTCTCTCTCTCTCTCTCTGCTTCTCCTGTGTAACTCTGACTTTCAAATAAATAATAAATAAATCTTTTTTTAAAAGGGAACTTATGGGATATGTACTGCATGGAATACTGACAGAGGTTAAAAAAAATAAAATCATTTAATTTGCGACAAAATGGATAAAACTGGAAAACATCATGCTTAGTGAAATAAGCCAGTCCAAAAAGGACAAATACCATATGTTCTCCCCGATCTGTGATAGCTAATATAACACCTAAGGTAATCTATAAAAATGAAATTTACACTTTGAGAAGCAATGATTGAATAGCCCTTGTCTCAATTATTGAGGAAGAAGTTTTTTTTATATTGAAATCTTTAATTAGTATAGTTAATCATATGTGTATAAAGTTATTTGCAAATAGATCTTAGTGAAAAGTAAGAATGCAAATAGGAGGAGAAAGAGGGGTGTAGGAGTGTGGGTGGGAGGGTGGGTATTGTTGGAAGAATCACTATGTTCTTAAAGTTTTAATTAGGAAATGCATGAAGTTTGTATTCCTTACCTAAAAGGTTTCTGGGAAAAAAAGAAGAGCATTCCAGGAAAATTTTTGTTTTGATTATTTGAGTCAAGGCTACTTGGTAGCAATATTTAAAAAGAAAATAAATTATGTTTTTCATCTTATTTATTTTTAGTGATTAATTGATTTGTTTTGAAAGACATAGTTTTGGGAGAGAGGAGAAGACAGAGAAAGATCTTCCAGCTGTTGCTCTACTCCCCAAATAGCTGTAACAGCCGGAACTGGGCCAGACTGAAACCATGAGCCAGAAGCTTCATCTGGGTCTCAAACATGGGTGGCAGGTGTCGAAGCACTTGGACCATCTTCTGTTGCTTTCACAGGTGCCCAAGCAGGGAGCTGGACTGGAAGTGGAGCAACCAGGAAACAAACCAGAACCCATAGAGGATGCTGGCATCCTAGGCAGCTGTTTAACCCACTATACCACAATGTCACAATGTCAGCCCCAGGTTTTCAATTTAAAATTGTGTGGCATTAGGTACCATTTGGACAGCTACAAAGAAACACTCAACAGGGAGTAGATATAGTGGTAAACATGCTGTGCAAGAAATACAAGCTGGAAGGAAACAGACATGTCAGACCAGATCGGGTCAAACCTATCAAGGTAAATTGTAGAGTGGAATCAAAAGGATACCAGTAAAAAGAGAAGAAACCATCAGTGATGTCATGATACAAACAGGATAGCTTCCAGAAGGCTTTCTAGTAGTTTCAACAATGGCAAGGCAAAAGATTCTAGAAGTGAGGCAGTCATTTAGGCTAGTGCCCTAGTGCTACAATAGCATTTCTGGCTGTCTTTTCAGCACTGGCTCCTAATTCTAGATTTTTGCAAATCTAGACACCAGAAATCAGTGTTGACAACTCAAGCAAGCAGGCTTCTGCAACTCAACTGAGAGGCAAGGACTACATTGGCTCTCAGCTATGACTTTGTTCCAGCCTTGGCTGCTGTGGGCATTTGAAGTGTGAATCAGTGGATTAAAGGTCTCTCTCGCTCTCTCTCTCTCTCTCTCTCTCTCTCTCTGTGGCATAGTAGGGCTAAGACTACACCCATGGTGCCAGCATCCCATATGGGCACCAGTATGTGTTCCTGGATGCTATTCTTCTTCTTTTAAGATTTATTTATTTATTTATAAGAAAGTAGAGTTACAGAGAGGGAGAGACAGAAAGAAAGGTCTTCCATCCACTGATTCACTCCCAAAATGGTCACAAACACTGGAGCTAGGAGTCAGAAGCTTCTTCCAAATCTCCCATGTGGACGCAGGGGCCTGATGACTTTGACCATCATCTACTGCTCTCCCAGGCCATAGAAAAGAGCTGAATCATTAGGGGAGCAGCTGGGACTCAAATCAGTGCCCATATGAGATGCCAGCATTGCAGGCAGAGGTTTAACCTACTAAGCCACAGCACTGGCCCCAGTTGCTCTTCTTCTCATCCAGCTCTCTGTTTATGGCCTGGGAAACCCAGAGGAAGCTCCTAGCTCCTAGCTTTGGATCAGCCCATCTCCAGCAGTTTGGGCCATTTGGAGAGTGGACCAGTGGATGGAAGACTTTTCTGTTTCTCCTCTCCCTGTAACTCTGCCCCTCAAATAAATAAATAAAATCTTTTTTCAAAAAGGTCTCCATATATTTCCATCTACTTCTTGTTCTCTCTCAAGTGTATAAATATTTTAAGATGGCAAAATATTCAAGTAAAGCAAAGACTAGAGAATTGTCTTTGGCTCTGACTATGGTTTATGCCATTGATAAATGTTTCGAAAAATGGAATAATTTGGCCAGCCACCATGGCTCACTAGGCTAATCCTCCACCTACGGCGCTGGCACCCCAGGTTCTAGTCCCAGTTGGGGCACCAGGTTCTGTCCCAGTTGCTCCTCTTCTAGTCCAGCATTCTGCTGTGGCCCAGGAGGGCAGTGCAGGATGGCCCAAGTGCTTGGGCCCTGCACTCATATGGGAGACCAGGAGAAGCACCTGGCTCCTGGCTTCAGATCGGCAGAGTGGGCCGGCCATAGTGGCCATTTTGGGGGTGAACCAAAGGAAGGAAGACCTTTCTCTCTATCTCTCTCTCACTGTCTAACTCTGCCTGTCAAAAAAAATGGAATAATTTACCTGAAAACATAACTTTGAAAGTATGAAATATTCCTAAGTAATCTAACTATGGAGAGTTATTTAAGTATGTGCAATAGATTCTATCCTCCACACAATTTCTGATCTGATCCATGAAACAAGTTCAGCCTCCAAAAAGCTTTTAAGGATACCCTACATTAACAATTCAAAATATAACCATTTTAATTAATTGTTTCTGAGGTAGCAAATTCTGTAAGTTTCAACTCAAACCATGCATGTAAAAAGTCTTGTAGCTATGGCAATAAAAAATTGAGACCAATGTACATTCAGCTCAGATGGCTTTAAATCTGGCAGCCATGCTTACTTTATCTTATATAAATCCTGATTCTGAATTATATTTTTATGCTTTTCCAATTTATTTAACAAAATCTCATAAAGCTCTTAAAGCACAATGTGAAAGAAGCTAAGGAACAAATAAACAACTTGCTGGCAATATATTTATTTTCATTCATTGGACTTGGCCACATGTAGATGTCTCTAGAATCTTATCTGCAAGAGAAATTACTTGCAGGGAGGGGTGAGACAGTCTAGGTTCTTCCTAGATTCTACTGTGCTAGCAAGATATTGAAGGAAATGCATATAGAAAATTGGGCATATTAGCTGGGCAATAAAAATAAAGTACCCTCCCTATGTGGGAATATAGGCTTTACACATGGGAAGAGCAGAAAAGATCCTGAAAGAGCACACACAACTCTACCAATCACTCAGGTTAAACATAGACTATTGTTAGGCTAATTAAAATATTAATTTGTTACCAATTCTGTAAAAAAATAATCAATGCCTGGGCCATCACTGTGTAGTAGTGGGTAAAGCATCAGTTCCAGTACACCTGCTCCACTTCTGATCTAGCTCTCTGCTATGGACTGGGAAAGCAGGGGATGAAGACCCAAGTCCTTGGGCCCCTTGTACCCACATGGGAGACCTAGGAAAATCTCCAAGCTCTTGGCTTCAGATTGGCCCAGCCCCAGCCAATGAGGCCATCTGGGGAGTGATCAGCATGTGGAAGACCTTTCTCTTTGTGCCTCTGTCTCTCTGTAACTCAGCCTTTCAAATAAATAAATCATAAAAACATCAATGTCAATGCATAGAAATAATTTATAATGTTCATCACGATTGTTCTTATAAGTAGCAGTACAAATTATGCTTTCACTAGTATCTATATTACAAAGAAAATTACTCAGGCAATACTGTTTTCCTTACAGTATTTTATGTATCTAAAATTCCATAAAAGTATGCAGCTTGAAAATCAGTTTTTGGCCACAATTATATCTATAGGAAAAACTGACATAATATACTAGTACAGCTTTCTGTAACTGTTCCATGTGACACTCCCCCCTGTATATAAACCTTGATATAATCCTTAACCACAGGGAACCCCCTGACATTTTCCAGTTCACTTGTTCTAGTCCATGAGACAACAGTAAATATGATACCAACATAGTTCAAAAAGTATTTAGCCTTTGGGAGTTTGCCTTCTTGCATAGTAATCATGTGGAGAATCCTGAGACTTGCCTGTTGGACACATGGGGCCTAGGTCTCAGGCTGCACAAACCAGACATTGGAAGGGTAGGCTTTATGGTACAGTAGGTGAAGCCACTTCTCTGGACATACCACATCACATACCAGAGTGCTTGGTGTGTGTCCTGGCTGTTCCGCTCCTCCAACCAAACTTCCTGCAAGTTTGTTTTTAAGATCTATTTATTTATCTAAAACAGAGTTACACAGAGAAAGGAGAGAAAGAGAGACAGAGAGAGGGAGGTCTTTTATCCACTGGTTCACTCCCCAATTGGCAGCAATGGCTGGAGCTGCGCCAATCCAAAGCCAGAAGACAGGAGCTTCTTCCAGGTCTCCCACGTAGGCACAGGGGCCATAGGACATGGATGATCTTCTACTTTCTCAGGCCATAGCAGACAGCTGGATTAGAAGTGGGCAGCCAGGACTCGAACTGATGCCCATGTGGGATTCCAGCACTGCAGGTGGTGACTTTACCCAACACACCACAACACTGCTCCCACGAGTGTCCTTTTGAGTCAATAGCTCATGGCTCAAAAACTTAGTTTCTGCTATCTGTATGGGATACCCACATGGCATTCTTACCTCCCTCGCTGTTGTGGGCTTTTGTAGAGTTATCCAGCAGAAGGAGGGTCTTCTCTCTGCCTTTCAAATGAATAAATTAGTAAAACAGTATTGATATGTGATATGGAACCATGGGTTGCTACCACCACTGGTTAAAACCCTCATTCCGGGCCGGCGCCGTGGCTCACTAGGCTATTCCTCCTCCTAGCAGCGCCAGCACACCGGGTTCTAGTCCTGGTCGGGGCACCGGATTCTGTCCCGGTTGCCCCTCTTCCAGGCCAGCTCTCTGCTGTGGCCAGGGAGTGCAGTGGAGGATGGCCCAAGTGCTTGGGCCCTGCACCCCATGGGAGACCAGGAAAAGCACCTGGCTCCTGGCTCCTGCCATCGGATCAGCGCGGTGCGCCGGCCTCAGCGCGTCGGCCGCGGCGGCCATTGGAGAGTGAACCAACGGCAAAGGAAGACCTTTCTCTCTGTCTCTCTCTCTCTCACTGTCCACTCTGCCTGTCAAAAAAAAAAAAAAAAGAAAAATAAGGGAGGGGGTGGAAGGTGCAAACCCTCGTTCCTTCAATTCTGATCGAGGTCCCTATTAATACAGCTCCCTATTAATACAGGCAGCCCAAGTACTTAGGCCCTGCCCAAGTACTTAGGCCCTTTCTATCCACTTGGAAAACCTGATTTTGGCCTGGGTCCAGTTTTGGCCTGGTCCAGTCCTAGCCACATCCTAGCCACTGAAGCCATTTTTTTTGGGGGGGGGGGCAGGCAGAGTTAGACAGTGAGAGAGACAGAGATAAAGGTCTTCCTTCCACTGGTTCACCCCCCAAATGGCCGCTATGGCCACCACACTGCACTGACCCGAAGCCAGAACCAGTTGCTTCCAACTGCTCTCCCATGCGGGTGCAGGGCCCTAGCACTTGGGTTATCCTCCATTGCTTTCCCAGGCCACAGCAGAAAGCTGGACTGGAAGAGGAGCAACTGGGACTAGAACCCGGGGTACTGGTGCCGCAGGTGGAGGATTAGTTTAGTGAGCCACGGCACCGGCCACACTGAAGCTTTTGAGGAGTAAACCAGCAGAGAGAAGATCTGTCTCTCCCCATCTCTCTATAACTCTATCTTTCAAATGAACAAATAAATAAATCTTTAAAAAACATATTGGTGTGAGTTAAGCAATCTTGAAGGCAGTAGCCTCAATTAAAGCACTAGATAACTAAAACCTCATTTTTGATCACAGGTACCAGCAGCATATGAACTGCCTAGCTACCCAAAAATGCTTATTAAGAATTACAAGCCAGTGCCGCGGCTCACTAGGCTAATCCTCCGCCTTGCGGTGCCGGCACACCGGGTTCTAGTCCCGGTCAGGGCACCGGATTCTGTCCTGGTTGCCCCTCTTCCAGGCCAGCTCTCTGGCGTGGGCCGGGAGGGGCGGGGAGGAAGGGCCCAGGAACTGGGCCCCGGCCCCCATGGGAGAACAGGAAAAGCACCTGGCTCCTGCCATCGGATCTGCGTGGTGCGCTGGCCGCAGTGCGCCAGCCACGCCGGCCATTGGAGGGTGAACCAACGGCAAAGGAAGACCTTTCTCTCTGTCTCTCTCTCATTGTCCACTCTGCCTGTCAAAAAAAAAAGAATTACAAATAAAATGGATGTATTTCATACCTGTATAATTTCTATTTATTTGCTGAAAGTCAAATGCATATGTGTGTATATATATATATAATGTATGTATGTGTTTTTATGTGTGTGTGTATGTAAGAAATAATTGAGTTTTTTGCTGCTATCAACAGAACTTAATAATCACATACAGATTTCCTGAGCATGAAATATGTCAACTACATTTTTTGTTGTTGTTGCTATTTTTAAGTTTGAAGCCAGAGTTGAAGAAAGAATCTTCTATCCACTGATTCACTGCAAGTGCCCACAATGGTCAGCACTGGGTGAGGCCAAAGCCATTAGGTGCTCCATCTGGGTCTCCATTGTGAATTGCAAGAGCCCAAAAACTTGAACCACCTTCCTGTTTTTCCCAAGATACTAATAGGGGGCTTGATCAGAAGCAGAGCACTCAGGACATTAACTGGTGCCACACAGCATGCCAGGGTCACAGGCAGTGGCTTTATCTGCTACACCTCAACACAGGCTGCAAGACTTTGTTTTAATCTCATACATCTATTTGGGCACTGTATTGTGATTTATTTGTATTTTATCAACCAAAAAGCAGTAAAAGTGTGATTAATTCACATTTTAAATAATAGAAAATAAATTACACTAAATTTTGTACCATGTATTAAGTGTGGAACACTTGTATTCTGCCCATTTATGGATAAACAGTCCACAGAAATTATTAGGGAAAAAAGTGTAAAATATTTGTATTATGTTATTAAGTGTGAAAAACTTGTATTATACCCATTTTTAGATACACGATCCATAGAAATTATTATGGAAAAAGTATAGGCATAGCCAAAGCAAAGTCTTTCAAAAACAGTGTTTAGTCCAAATCAAGTGTGGTTCCTGAAATGGATTGAAAAATAAACATGACGGGGCTGGTGCTGTGGCTCAGTGCATTAACGCTCTGGTCTGAAGTGCAGGCATCCCATATGGGCACTGGTTCAATATCCAGCTTCTCCATTTCTGATCCAGCTCTCTGCTATGGCCTGGGAAAGCAGTAGAAGATGGCCCAAGTCCTTGAACCCCTGCACCCACATGAGAGACTGTTCTCCTGGCTCCTGGCTTCAGATCAGCACAGCTCTGGATGTTGCATTCATCTGGGGAGTGAACCATCTGATGGAAGACCTCTCTCTCTCTCTGCCTCTCTTCTCTCTGTGTAACTCTTTCAAATAAATAAATAAATAAATCTTAAAGAAAAAAAAAGAATGACACTGCTGCCTTGCCATAACAACAACAACAACAAAAAACTTAAACATGACTACATGACTTGTAAATTAACTGTGGTAAATTAAATAACACTACTCAAAATTAAATAAATAAATCAGGATGTGTGACATTTACAAATCATTTGACATGTCAATGTACTTCATCATAGTTCTAGATATTAAACATGACAAACTAGGTTTCAGACTAATTGTAAAACAATAAAATTAAAAAAAAAAATCACAGTAGGCAGGACACATTCTGGTATTTGATGTGAGCATCCCAAATAGCAGTTTAAACTGATGTAGTACAGTTCCTACCCCATCAGCTCCGAGTTTTGATTTAGTGTTTAAGCAACCAGCATATGAAAGCATTGTGTCAGTTTGTGTCTCTGCCTGAAAGAAATAAAATAATAAATAAATTTGGCCCCCTTCTGCTATCTTCTCCCTACTTCCAAACTTGGCAACACAAAGCCACCACAAATGTGCTCCATTAAAATAGATTTGCTTTCTGTGGACATTGTAGGGAGCTTTAAGGGTGAGAAATGCCCCTTGTGATAATGGCATTGCATACTGGAGTACCTTGTCAGAGCCTGGTTATTCCACCTGATCCATCTTCCTGCGAATGTTCATCCTGAGAGATGATGATCCAAGTACTGAGTCCCCTGCCTATCTATGTAGATGCAAATACAGCTTTTGGGTGCCGGCTCTAGCCTTGCCTAGCCATAGCTGCTGCAGGCCCCTGGGCAGTGTGCCCGCAGATGGGAAGGTCTTTCTCTGTCTCTACCTTTCAAAGAAATAAAAATAAATAAGACATTAAAGAAAATGACAGCTAAAATGTTATTTTAATAAATTCAACCATATCAGTTTAAATGTGAATTATCTAAATGCAACAAAAGACAGGAATCGACACAGGAAAAATAAAACCAGACACAACTTTTGTGTGATCCATAAGAAAAAAATTTTTTTTCACATCATACCATTGAAATATTTCATGCTCCATGAAGATAACAAAAATCTAACACTTAAATAATAGAACAGCATTTCTAAGTAAGTTGGCAAAGCATAAGTAAAAGGCAACAAGTGGGGCCAGTGGCTTAAACCTCACTTTGTGATAGCCTCTGATCCCACGTGCTTCACTTCCAATCCAGCTCCTTGCTAATGCACCCAGGAAATTAGAAGAATATGGCCCACATATTTGAATTCTTGTCATGCATCTGGGAGATCCAGGTGGAGTTCCAGGTTTCTTGCTTTAGCATGGCCCAGCTCCAATTTTTGCATTCATTTGGGGAGTAAGCTAGCAGATTAAAGTTCTTTCTCCCTTCTCTCTCTACCTCTGTCTTTCAAATAATAAATATTTTTAAAATAAATAAAAAGCAGCAAGTTTCTACAAATGTATTAGAGAATGAGCTCTGGGTAGCATTCTGCTTAACACGAAGTTCACAAGGGAACCCGTGTAACCATAATAAAGTCATGTTCCTTACCCTTTTCAGATTTTTAGCTTAATGCAGACATTTTCTCTTCTTCTGCTTTTGTGAACATTTGAATTCAGAATGTTGGGAACATACTGAAAGTTGATTTAGAATGTCAGGCTTGGAGCTGGCACTGTGGTGTACCAAGTAAAGCTGCTGCCTTCAGTGCCGGAATCCCATGTGGGTGCCTGTTCAAGACCCGGCTGCTCTCCTTCTGACCCAGCTCTCTGCTATGGCCTGGGAAAGCAGCAGAAGATGGCCCAAGTCCTTGGGCCCCTGCCCCAACATGGAGACCCAGAAGAAGCATCTGGCTCCTGGCTTTGGATCAGCACAGCTCCAGCCATTGAGGCCATCTGGGGAGTGAGCCAGTAGGTGGAAGGCCTCTCTCTCTCTCTTTCTCTGACTCTCCTTCTCTCTGTGTAACTGTGACTTTCAAGTAAAATAAATAAATCTTAAAAAAAAAAGAATGCCAGGCTTTTGATTCAGCTAACAAAGAAGCCCCACTTTAACTGATAATGACCTCCATTTTTAAGAAATACCCAACTGAATGATGTCGTTGAGTTCCTGATGGGACAGAGGGACAATCATCAACAAAGCCTGAAAATTGGCATAATAAATAGACTCATTTTTTTTATTTCTAACCTTACCTTGCATTTATTTAATTTTGAATCCTGAAAACAGTTGCCTTGGCAGGGCAAGACCAAATGATTTTGTAGGACTTACATGTTTTGCACCACGATCACGAATCACAGGCTCAGGGCTCAGTCCCACCACATAGCCCAAAGAATGCACTTGTTTCTCTGGCCACATGTCCCCATTCTGAAGTTATCTAGGGATCCCACCCAAAGCTATCTCTATAGCAAAATCTTGGCTGATGTCTGAAATGGGTGTGCTTTGCAGAATCAGAGTAACTTCTCCCAGTCAGGAAATTTCAAAGTGAAAAGGACAAGGGCTTGCATAGTAGGTTAAGCCTCTGCCTGTGATATTGGCATCCCATGTGGGTGCCGGTTTGAGTCCTGGCTGCTCCACTTCTGATCCAGCTCTCTGCTACGGCTTGGGAAAGCAGTAGAAGATTGTCCAAGGCCTTGGGTCCCTGCACCCATGGGGGAGACCTGGAAGAAGCATCTTGCTCCTTGCTTTGGATGTATAGCCAAACCTTGGTGTGTACCAAATGCATTTGCTTGTCAGATTTGGCAACACTTAGCTAAGGTGGATTTCTCTTGCCTTTGCAAAAGTTTTGTTCCCTACATAAGGAATCCAGGATCAACCCAGCTAACAAGGAAACTTTTCAGCTGATGCACCTGACACAATTCAAATTACAAACAAATGCTTGACTGACACCTTGGGCTGCCCAGTTAATCATCAGAACACAAAGCCTGAAAAATCTGCCAAATTATCAATTAACTAGACTCAAATTTTCTAATCTCACTGTAGCTACTCCTTTTCCATTTTTTTACTAGCTTATTGGGCAGGAAGAGCACATTTTGGATCTTGAGATCTCTTTCCCCAAGACTATTCAGTCCTTGAAATAAATCTTTATCCTCTTGCCAACTCTCTGGGGAATTGGTCTAGTAATAAAAATTATTTGATTAATAAAGAAATTACTTAAATATCTTAATAACAAAACTATCTTTCAACTATTAAATTTAAGTATGGAAACCTAACAAAAAGTAGAGAATGAAGGCACTGGTGCTCCAGCTTAGCAGGTAAAGCCACCGCCTGAAGGGCCAGCATCCCATGTGGGCACCAATTCAAATCCCAGATGCTCCACTTCCAATCCAGCTCTCTGCAGTGGCTTGGGAAAGTAGTAGAAGATGGCTCCAGTCCTTGGTCCCCTGCACCCATGTGGGAGACCTGGAAGAAGCTCCTGGCTCCTGGCTTTGGATTGGCACAGCTCTGGCCATTGCAGCCAATTGGCAAGTGAACCAATGGATGGAAGACCTCTCTCTCCCTGCCTCTCCTTCTCTGTGTGTGTGTAACTCTGACTTTCAAATAAATAAATAAATACATCTTAAAAAACAAAAAAAAAGTAGAGAATGAGATTTGACAAAACATAAAATGTCTTTTCCTCATTTAATAATCAGAAATGTAAAATATTCTCTTGTAGTCTGTTTATTTTAACAAGCTGCTCAACCAGATAACATGAAAATCAAACCTGATGATAAAGTACTAAAATTTAATTAGAAATTAGAATAGTGTTGTTACCAAAGGTTTGGACTCTGTCCCAAGTGCCAATTAAAATAACGAGGACATGGTTTTGGGGTGAATAAAACAGAACAGTTAATCTTTTACAAATGAGGACATAGAAGTCTATCAAATCTTGATGATAGTTACCAAATAATCAGGCCCTTGCTGCTTGCTGCTCAGATGGTCAATTCATAGAGTGTTGGTAAAAGAAAGGTTTAATTTAAAAAACCCAGTAGTCTTGGGGGAAAGAGATCCCCCAATCCAAAATGAGCTCTTTCCCAACAAGCCAACAGGACAGCTGCAGAGTGAGGTTAGAAATAGAACAATGAGTCTATTTGATTAACAATTATGCAGATTTTCATGCTTTGTTCTGATGAGGGTCCTGCCTTGGCAGGGGGGTGCAGCTTGGATCCCTCAGCTGGCAGTTTCTTGATAATGGAGCTCAACATCAGTTGGGAGGAGACTTTCTTTAGCTGGGTCAAAAGTCTGCCATTCCAAATCATCCCCTTTCAGTGGACTCCTGAAATTCTTATGAAAACAATATTCACAAGACTAGCATTAGATTAGATGCCTTCACGAAGGTAAAATGTGGGAAGGGAAGGTGCCTTTATTATTGCTAATAATTCCTCACTGTCAAGTTTTCTGATCCATATGTACGGATGGAATAGGGGCATTGACTCCATTCTGGCTACTTTCTGCTGAATGAAAGTAATGTAGGGGAATTTTTTGGAATGGAAAATTGACATTGTTTTGACCCTTGATTTATCCTTTTGAAGAGAGATAAAGGCAAAAACATTTGTTTAGCTTCTGGCTCATACGTTCATTTGTAAAGTTTCTGTAACATAATGACTTTAAACCCTAAGTAAATTCCCAATAATATTATTAGAATGTTAGTCCTGATTTAAAAATTCCTCCTAAGATAGACCTGGCTCCAGATAGTATCCAGGAAATGAATTTGAATACCAGTCTCTACCTCTTTGGGAAAGGGGAGTCACACAGGTAGTTTCTGCATGTTTTATCATGCAGGTGCCTTATCATTTCACAGTAATAATAAAAGCAACAACATATTAACATTACTCTACCTAAACAGCAAATCATAAAACTGTTAGCAGTTTTCACTAAGAATTTTTAACCTCAAGTAAGTAAAGCCATTGACTAGGGCTCAGTTTGTAGGTCAGACATAGTATTAAACTGGATGAGCATGTTAGAGCTATTAGGATTTTATACAAAATATCTTGTTTTGAAGGAGGCACAAATTTCTTCTTTGGATGGCCATGAGGGTGTTTAAAGCCATTTGGCTTTTGGGGGATTGCCTTCCTCAGTAGGGAAATTTAAGCACAATCATCTCTTCTTCACCATCCAATAGGCACCTGCATAATAAGAAAAAGCATAGTTTCCTACCTCTTTCTCTCTCTGTAACCCTGATGTTCAAATAAAGAAAATCAATCTTTAAAAAAAAATGAATTCCAGATCCGAATTTCTAAGAGGATGTCAATCACATACAGGCTTGCTGGACTACAGTGTTCCAAGCATCCATGCACATGTTCCTCGGAAGGCTTTAGAAGAAAGGTGGCTGACACTCATCATTTTTAGATTAATGAGCAGGTAGTATGACTGTGAGCTGGGAACCTCCCTGTTGTTTATGAGGTTACAATAGTGTGAAGGGCTGTCCAAGGGTGAACTGCTCTGCCTCTCCATAGTACATCATAAGTGGCTGTCATTCTTACATGCATTAGGCAGTCTTGGTTAGCAATGTCCAGGTTTTTAAATATTTAAATTTTCTAGATTTTTGAATGAGTATTCTAAGTCTTATTTCTTGCTTCTTGATTACCAAGAATTCCAAGACCTATCTCAGATCTGAAAACCCCAGTATGGGTGCTGTATATAGATTCTAGCAAAATGTGAGAGTATAAGATGAGAGAACTCCAAACATTGTATTTAGTTAGCATACCTTAGAAATAGTGGCATTCTGTAGAGGTTGCAAATCTACCTACCAGGGTGGTGAGATGTTTAAGGGATTTTAATAATTCCCCAAAATTTATTAAAAGGAAAAATGGCAACATGATAAAGGCTGGTTTCCCACGAGTCCTAACCCTATTCATCTTCCTGCACTACACACCCTCACCCATCCGTGATCCCTGCCCACCATGCATGGCTCGTCTGGGCCGCACCTGAGAGAAATTTGATGGGGAGCTGATGACAAATGCCCTAAACAGCACATTGACATAGGAATCAGCCCTTAAGGCCTTTGGATCTAGCTGAAAAGCCCATGACACCATTTCAGGCATGGAAAGCCAAGACACTGTGGCAAAAAAAAAAAAAAAAAATGATCTACATGAAGAATCTCTATGAGTGGAACCCCAGTGTAAAGAAGGGGCCATGAAAGGTCGTACCTTTCTCTGAAGGGAGGAGAGAACTTCCACTTTGTTTATGGTCCTGTCTGAATACTGACAGAGTTGGTGGACTCAGAAGGCTTCCATAGCCTTGGCAGCTCATGACAAGAGCCTTGGGTGATCACTAACTTCATAATTAAGAGTGTTAATTGCTAAATCAACAACAGGAGTCACTGTGCACTTGCTTCCCATGTAGGACCTCTGTCCTTAATGAGTTGTACTATGAGAATTAATGGTAAAATTTGTCATCTTCAAAAGTACTTTAGACACTGTGTGTCTGTGTACAAGCAAACTGTTGAAATCTTTACTTAACATAGAGTTAGTCTTCTGTATATAAAGATAATTAAAAATTAAACTTTATGAAGAATGGAATGGGAGAGGGAGTAGAAGGTGGGACAGGGAGGAGTGCGGGTAGAAGGGTGGGTATGGGGGGAAGAACTGCTGTATTCCTAAAACTGTATCTATGAAATTTGTATTCATTAAGTAAAAGCTTTATTTAAAAAAAAGGAAAAGTAAATAAAAGAAAAGAAAAAAAAGAAAAGAAAAGAGCCAAGAATGGGACAAAAATCCCTGAAGCTCCTGCATTTTCTAAATTGACAAGGACTCCTAACCTGTCTCCTTGGGCATCAACAGCCACAGACACAGTTGCTGGATGGTTTAAGGGATTTAAATGCTTACTCCATCCCATTTACCAGATCTCTCACAAAACCTTTACTATTGGAAATCCACTTAACGGGGCTGATGCTGTGGCATCTTCGGTAAAGCAGCCACCCGCAGTGCCAGCATCCCATTTGGGTGCCAGTTAGGGTCGGTCCCCGCTGCTTCAGTTGTGATCCAGCTCTCTGCTGTGGCCTGGGAGAACAGTGGAGGATGGTTCAGGAGCTTGGGCCTGCATCCTGGGTGGAGGGGGTCTGGGAGGTAGCTCCTGACTCCTAGATTCAGATCAGCCCAGCTCTGGCCAATACGGCCACCTGGGAAGTGAACCAGTGGATGGAGTACCTCTCTCTCTCTCTCTCTCTCTCTCTGCCTCTGCTTCTCTGTAACTCTGCCTTTCAAATAAAATAAGCATTTAAAAAATCCACTTAACAGCCACCTTCTCTTAAATTAAACACACACAGAGGCCATGCAGTATTACAATAGAACACCACTTTCTTCTTAGTAATAGGATTGTAACTATAAGCTGTTCAATCAGCCACAATACAACAAGGTGCTTTTGGATGGAAATTAAATTGAACCACTCGTATTTCACCAAATGAGAACTCTTCCAAACCATATCCAAATCTTCCTCACAGAGGGGCTGAGATAAAAATCTTAGAATCTTGTCTCCCACACACCAGTACCATAAAGAATGACCGAAGCCAGGTCCAAATGCCATGAACGCAAAGAGCAGAGACAGAAATTTCAGATACGCTCCTGGTTCAACTTACCCAGACTCAGAGCTGTTTGACTCCGTATACAAATGGAAGCCATTGTGCTAATAGGTAGCTAATGCTGCAGCAGGAAGAGAAAGGAAAGTCCCAGGAAAAAAGTGCTCTCAGCAGCTGCTGGGATGTCCCGAGTCCCAGCCACCATGTTAGCTCACATGCAGCTCTGGGGGTGGAGTACATCGGCCATTGCTCTCCTTGTTAGGAAACTGGCACAGTTTTAGCCAGGTAGCCTAATGGCCCAGATACCTGAGCCAGGCTCCACCCGCATCCTAATGGGATTCGCTGCTTCTGCTTCCCTGCCTGCCCTCAGGCAAAGTTTTAAAAGGGTCTGTTCCTGAACACGCACTCTCTTGGCTCTGCTCTCTGGGCTCTTCTCTCTTGGTTCTGCTCTCTCTCTCAGCTCCTCTCCTCCTCTCATCTCTCTTCTCTCTCCTCTCTGCTCTCCTCTCTCCTCTTCTCTGCTCTATCTTCTCTCCTTGCTAGCTCCTCTCCTCTCTGTTTCTTTCTTATACTCTCTCTCTCTTTCCCTTTGCTGTCCCTTCACTCTGGTCTGTTGGGTGTTCCCCAATAAACCCTTTCCCTTACTCCGGTGTTCAGTGTGTTTTGTGATGGCTAACATTAATATATAACACTCCTTACCAATGTAAGAGGGTCAGGCCACTTGAAGAATATACCCCAGACTTCTGGGCTAGCTCACCAATGTGTTTATTGAGCGAATAATCTGGCTCTTGATGCTCACTGCTTCAATTCACCAATTCACCTGGCCAGAGGAAAAGGTTTGTTGCAGGAAGGCAGCAGCAGCCTTGGGGAAAGAAAAAGAAGTTTCTCTCAATCCAAACAAGTGCTTTTTTACCAAACAACCAAGCACAGAGGATTTTTAAAGAGACAGGGCTAATTGGAGGGTGAATCTTCAAATAAACCAATGAGCCTATTCAATTAACAATTATGCAGATTTTCAGGCTTTGTTCTGAGGAAGGTCCCACTAGCCAGTCCGGGGAGGGGAGTCCAGGGTGTCAGGTGGGAGGTGCTTTCTGCCTCACTTGGGGGGAGGGTTCTTTGTCAGCTGGGGCAAAAGCCTGCCATTCCGAATCATCTCCTTTTTTCAGTAGGCTTCTGAAATTCTTATGCAAATATTATTCACAAGATTACAGCAACAGAGGGTGCCTTCATTAAGGCAAACATTTGAAAAGGAAAAATGCATTTATTGTGGTTACAGGAGTACCATTCTGTTGGAGGAGGATATTTTGGGAGCTTAAATAGAGGTTATAAGGAAGGGCATGCTGATGTGATGACCTAATGGGGAGTCCTTTTAAGAGTGGACAAGACACTTGCTTCTCCCCAGAACCTGTCTATTAGCAAGACAGAAGTGGAGAGCCCACTCCTCTGAGTTTCTAGTTTTATCATGAGAATAGAAAGGAAGTAAGGATCCCACCCTTCTGAGCTCCTAGTTTTACCCTGAGAATAGAAAAAAAAAAAATTTGCCTATCTTACTGTTCCCAAGGTTTTTTTCTTTTAATAAGAGCAGGCTAGACAGGATTATGATTCTGGCCTTCTGATGGTTTTTGTCCCTGCCCTCTGATAGATTGTTAGCTGTTATTATTCTGCTCATCTGTGGAGAATCCCACAGGAATCTTAAAAAGAGTCATGGATCACCTACCTGAAAAGGAGATGAACTGTGGAAACTCCACAGTAAAGCATTGAGAAGTTACCACTAGCCACAAAATAAAAGTAAAATGGAGTTATAAGTCAGGAGCTGAGGCAATGCCTAATGGCTGTTAAGGAGACACTGCTAATCATATCAGGCAGACATCTCTGGTCAGTCAGATAACAGTGTGCTATGGACAATACCCTCCTACCCACACTGACTGGACTGTTCAAACATAAGTAAGGCAGGAACAGTACTGACTGGACTGTTCAACTGCAAGCAAGGAGGAAACAGCATTGATTTGACAACAAGTCAGAGATGGCAAGCTGGAGTACTGTCAGAAAATTAGGATAAAATGGGGAGCCCTTGCATCACTTTCCATCCTCTCGGGGATCATGACCTGGTGTGTGTGAACCTCTGGGTCTCCACACACCTGGAGCTGAAGAGGCAGCCTGCTACTCTGCATGGAGTATGAGACCTGAGCCTGGATCAAGGTGCAACTATTTTAAATTAGGCCTCCATCTTGTAACTTGGGCCTGACCAGGCCCTGAACCCTGAGCCAGAAGCTCCTTAAAGTAAATAAATGAACTCCCCTTGTGATAAACTCTCCTAGCAACAGCTGATTGGCAGATAACAGAGAAATACCTAGAGTTCCTGGTGTCTTCTCAGGGCAGATAAGGTGATTGATAGCTACCTGAGACCCTGAAGTTTGGCACGTACACCCCATCAGCTCAGACCCTACGCTTTGGCCAATCAATTCAAAAGGCATCAACCCCAAAGCCATCCAACCACCTTTAGTAGGTCCATTCCCGCCACTGGATGCACTAATCAATTCTAAGAGATGTCCTTTGAATTTCCCGCAGGATGAGATGATTTGCTAAATGGTACCATGATGTATAGAATGTCTCTGAAAACCCTATAAAAACCCTGTTAACTGAAGGGTCGGAGCTTTCAATTCAGACCCACTGTGTCAGTGTTGATCGAGAGACCAGGCCTGGACCTGCAATAAAACTCATGTGCTTTACAGCGGTATCGGCTCCTTGGTGGTCTTTGGGGATGACTGAACTGGGCATAACAGGAGCAGGTAGTGGCACAAGCTGACCTGCAGAGCTGTCCCTGAGCTGTAACCCCACTGTCTGTGTGAGTGTGTGTGTGTGCATGGGCCCAGTGTGTGCAAACCTCTGATCTCCTTGCACTTGGAGCTGAAGTGCCAGCTCACTAGCCCCTTGCTAAGTGACACAAGATGACTACGGGATCAAAACTCCAGCTGAGATGACACCTCACCACTTTGCCTGGAGTCCTTATCAGCCTACTGCCAGGGTTGACCACAGAACCAGACCAGGCCTCTCAGCAGGGGAACTCTCCAACTTCTCTTCACCTTCCACTACAGTTTAGTTCACAGGTACCAGTGCAAAGAAACAACCTGATATGTGTTAAATATCCTCCAAGAACAAATCTGACTGAAACCTACATTTGTTCTCAGGAAAATAGACTTTTCTTCACCTTCCACTGCAGTTTAGTTCACAGGTTCCAAGGCAAATATGGAATAGGAGATAATCATCAAGAACATGAACATAAAACTCACTTGCTGGGACTGGCATTGTGGTACAGCACATTAAACTATCACTTATTATGCCTGCATCCCATATCAGAGTGCCAACTTGAATCCTACCTATGTTCTTTCTGATCCAATCTCCTAACTTGTGCCTAGGAATTAGCAGAAAATGGCCTGATTACTTGACTCCTTGCCACCCACATGAAATACTCAGATGGGGTTCCTAACCCCTGGCTTCAGTCTGGCCCAGGCCCAACTGTTGAAGCCATTTAGGGGAGGGAACCAGTGAATGGAAATCAATCTCTCTCTCTCTCTCTCTCTCTCTCTCTCTCTCTTCCTCCTCTATGTATGTGTATCTTCTTCCCTCTCACTCTGCCTTTCGGCAAAATAAATGAATCTCTAAAAAAATCTCCCTTCAGGATAAAGCATCTGGGGGATACTACACTTTAGGGGGAAATGGATTGATTTGTTCAGAGTACTCAAAGCAGCTTCTTTATATCCCAGTTCTTTCTCTGTTCACACTTACATTTTTATAGCATTTATTATGGCATCAGTGTGAGTTTTCATTCATTTTCTCATATCTAGTGTGTGGCCTATTAAAAAGAAGCCTTCTTGAATGAACAAACTGAACTATTTATTAAATGTTAATGTATAATCAGTCCATTTATAAATTAAGCTCAGACAACTTTGAAATGTTTATATTGTATATAAAATATATATGAATTTGCAATCTGCCTTTGAACTTGGTCATAAGCATCAGCATCCTTGTCTCCTTAATTTGTTGTGGGCAGTAAGAAGAATTCTGTCTGCTCGGTTTAAAGATCCCCATGCTTCTCAGTGTTCAGAGAGCTTTTCTACTGGTGACCTTCCACGTCTACCTGGTTTCTCTTTGTACCAAGCCTGGACTTGAGGATTGTGATTGCAGCTATGGATCCCAGCTCAAAACTCAAAATGCACCCACTGAAATATTTTCTGATTTCCTTTTTAGTTTCCTCTTCAAGCCAATGGATGTTTGACACTGTGTAGATTGACATCCACATATGTGTGACTTTTCCCATTTTTCTGGAATTAATTTCTATTTTTATTCTATTGGAGTTATGAAAGACAATGATATGACTCTGATTTTCTAAAAATTGTTGACACATATTTTCTGAATTAACAGATGATCCCACCTGGAGAATTTTTGACAGCTGTTGAGAAGAACACATGTTCTGCTGCTGTCAGTTAGAATGCTCTCTGTGTAACTATTAGGAAAAGTTAATTTACAGTCTTGTTCAAATCTACCACTCTTGAAAGTGGAGTATTGATATGTTCTGTTTGTTCCATTGCTGTTTATCCCTTCAGAGCTCTCAACATTTGCTTATATATTCTGGTGTTCTGAGGTTGGGTATGCGTGTTGTTCAACTAGAAAAGTACACAGAGGAACACTCAAGAATAGCAATAATATGGGAACAAAATGAGGAATTCAAAAAACACATAGAACAATGAAGAATCAATTTTCAAGATGTAGAAAATGGTGAATAAAAACAAAAAAAAATAGAAAACTTCTACTCCAAACAAACCTAATAAAAAAAAAAATTGTTCTGTAGAAATGGGATTGGACTTGCATGATCCTCAAACTCTGATACTTTTCCCTGGCACAAGTCCATGTCTTCTACTGAGAGTATCATCCCAGGATTTCTTCAGAGAGTGATCCATCCCACCTGTCAGTGCAAGTGGTAAGTGAGGATAGAACTAGCTCCTGCTGCAGGGGCAAGGGTCATGCTTGTTCTTCCTGCTGTGGCAGTGTTGGTGCATGAGGAGTTGGGGCTCAGGTGTGCACATTTTATGAGGGAATGCGCAGGCCCCAGGATTTAGCCCAGGCTGTGGACACAACATCTCTCTGTTCAGCACAAGGTACACCTGCTTCCACCTAGTGTAAGATGCCCAGGGGTGACCAAATTATGTCTCCCTCAAACACAGCCAGGAGGGAGGGAACCCAGGCCACACCCACCTTGAACATGGCTTCTGCACTCTGTCATCAGTGTCTTTAGTGAGAGAGGATGGCATCTGATTCCTATTTCAAAAAAAAATGACATTGCAACTCAACAAAATGGAATCAGGAATGTTATTGTTGTGAAAATGGGCAAATATAAGATACTGTACAAAATTAGTAAGTATTAACTGCACTTCTGAGAAAACATAACATGTTAATTTTTATGAGATGTGTATTTGGCCACTTTTTTCATATCAACTTTTTTTTAAGATCTGTGTTATTTGTTTGAAAGGCAGAGTTAGAAAAAGACAGGTAGAGACAGAGAGAAATCTTCATTGGCTGGTTCACTCCCCAAATGTCCACAATGGGCCAAGCTGGGCCAATCTGTATCCAGGAGCCAGGAGTTTCTTCCAGGTCCCCCATGTGGGTGCAGGGGCCCAAGTATTTGGGCCATCTTCTACTGCTTTCCCAGGCATATTAGCAGAGAGTTGGATGGGAAGTGGAGCACCCAGGACTTGAACCGGCACCCTTGTTGGATGCTGACATTACAGGCCAGGGTTTTAGCCTGCTGTACCACAGCTCTGGACCCTATTTGACCACTTTTAAAATGTACTGTTATTGTGGTCCTGGAAAAACAAAATATAGCTGATGAATTTTATAATCTTAAGCATTTCTAAGTGTATGGCTGAGTAGTGTTGAGTATATGCACATTGCTGTGGGACCAATATTCAGAACTGTTTTTCCTTATGAGACTGAAACTCTCTATCCATTGAATGAAAGCTTTTACAATTCCACCACCACCAACTCCCAGTAACTGCCATTCTACTTGCCATTGCCCAGACTACGGAGCCTTTAGGAAGTACAATGATATTTCAGGGTCACATAACTGAGAGGGTAGAGGGAACTATGTTGGAACTCAGTTCTGTCTCTGCAAAGCTGGGTCTTGATTGTACCTGGGCACTCCCTGGGGTTTTGGATTGAGCTATGTGGCATACATGTGTGTGATTATGGACATGACATGAGGCAGATGGAGGATGAGACTTTGGAGAGGTCTTTTCTGCTGAGGAATCCCATGAAAGAGGATCCCAAGAAATGAAATCAATTTCTTGATGAAAGTCTACAATAGAACCTGGAACTCAGGGTGTGTAAGCTTTCTTTGCTGAAGCCCCACTGGAGAAAGCCATCTGTTCTGCTCTTCTGTCCTGACTTTCCAGCAGCCCAGCCTCAAGAAATCCTGGATGTGAATACTTTATAACTCTGAGATATTGGCTCAGTTCTTGATATTGATACCTCAGGCATTTGGGCGGAAAGGACCCTATGGTGACATGGGTTGTCCCTAAGAAGGAAATTCTAGGCAAGGTCACCACTCTGATCCCACCTGGGCATTGCAACACTATTTCCCCTTTTGTGGGTATTTTTTGGAGCCTCATATAGGGTGATCTATCCCATATAGGAACAATTTATTGGAAGAGTTAAAATCTGGGTCAGCCTGTTAGGTCTACACTCTAGGTCATGTCAGGCAGAATGGGTAGAGGAATGTTGTGATGGCACTCATCTTTTATGTGAATCCTAAGCTAGAGAAATGTTCAGACAGAAATCTGTGCTTGACCTTGCTAACAGAAAGTTACCTGGAACAGAAACAGTATTGATAGCCAGATGGGGTTATGATACCTCCAGACCTGGCTTTAGAACCACTGCAGGGGTTGGTCCTAGGTGTGTAGTGATCTGTTTTGCGAGTGCAGGTCGGGTCTGAGGGGCCGGACATAGTGCGGGAGGAGGGTCAGAAGGTCCAAGGCTGGGCCATGCTGTAGAGTTGACCTGCGCCAGGGGTGTGAAGGAGACCACAGTGCCTGGGTCCCCATTTCGCACTCAGTCCGATGGCGGAGACCGAGTTGAGAGTCCTGGCTCAGGGAGAGCAGAACTGTGAGATTCAGGAGTCAGTGGCGAGAAGCACAAAGGAGCTGAAGGCTGGGAAAGATGAACTCACAAGCACAGAGGTGGGCACAAGCCACTGGCATGGATTTACAAAGGAGAAGCAGAAAGTCAAAATGGAAGAGAGAGAGTAGAACAAGATAAAGGAGCTCACAAGCATGAGGATGGTGTGTGTGGCCCTGGCCTCACAGTGGGGCCTGGGAGAGAGGCAGCTGCTGTGTAGGTGCTGCACGCACCGCTTGTGCCTGTGCAAGACGAGGACCATGGAGCCACTGGCCCAGACCATGAGGCTCAGATTTAGTGTATCAAAGGACAAGAACATGACTCTGTGCAGTCTACTTAAAAATGAGCTTAGAATGTGGGCAGAGCAGTAGCCAAAGTTTTGTCTCATCACACTTATGTTTTTGCTATTTAGCAACTGAGTCATCTTCAAAGGAACGATTGTATTTAGCAAGAGATGCAGGATCCAGAGGAGGCTACAGCAGAAACAAATGGACTTTGGGGATCTTGTTGTGATGTGCAGCTGAGAGTAACTGGAGCAAAATTTAGTGGCCTGGAAAACACTCAGGAGGCAGGTGGTGCTGAGGGAAACCCCCCTGCCCACCCTGTGTAGGTAGAAGACAACTTTACATCCAGCATCATCCAGAAAATACTTCCATCTGAAAGCTGCCATTGTCTGCATGATCCCTCTGGAGAAAAGCACTGTGGAGTAGGCTAAGACCAGCTGGTTGAGAATCAAGTCTGTGGACCTCACCTGATGTCAAGTGAACAGAATGAAGTTATAGAGACAAAGCAGAGCAGAGTTTCCCAAGATTCCAGCTCCCGTCTGAGTAAGGAGGATGCTCCCCATTCCCAAGTAAGCTGAACTCATCACTTCAGTTTCTGGGTGATGCTGATTTTAGCAGCTGTCAGAGAGGTGGGCAGAGGAAGGAAAAAGCAGTACCACGATCATACCTGGTAACTGTGTGGCTAAAGGAAGATGGTTTCGCACCCTCTGTGATATTTGTGCAAATGGGTGAAGGATTAATTAGTGAAGTGCTGTGTTACAGGCAATCTCTTTGTCTCTGTTAATCAGCTAACAGAGACACATCCACATAATGTGCAAAGTTCTTATTCTGATAGACAGTTGTTTTCAGAATTTGTTCATAAGATAAAAACAAAGATGTAAAAAATTGGAAAAATTCCCTTCCCTAAAATTGTAGAACTTTAAATGTGTTTATGTACTTGTTTATGAACAAAGGGGGGCTCATACAAGAAGTTATTAATGTATTTCCCAATAGCAGCTCACAGCAGCAGGAAGGGGAGGAGCAGGATAGAAACTGCACCGCATGAATTAATCCCATGCTGCTATTTTAATATTTCAACAAATGTAAATGTTTTATGTAATTATAAGACAATATTGAATAAAATATTTTAAAATATTAAAAAACCACTGCAGGAAGTTGAAAATGTACTTAATGGAGTCATACACTTCTCCCTGGGTGGTGGGCAATTTCACCACACTGACAATGAAGCCCAATGCTGATTCCCCTTGAGTGCAAGTTGTCGCTCCCCCTCTTCGTGGAGGAACGACACTAAACCCTGCCTAGGTTTCCTATCTGAGTCACGGCACCATTATGTCGCTCCCCCTCTTCATGGGGGAACGACACTAAGCCCTGCCTATCTCGGGCTGGAAATTTCGCCCTACATTCCCTCATTAGATGCCCTTCTCGACCACATCTAAAGCATATTCGTCCCCTCATGTTCTGTCTAAATTGTCGGGTTACAGCTACTGCAGCATGTGATCCAGAAGCTACATCATCCATGACATCCCTACACAAGTGCAGAGGGATGTTCATAACCATGGCCTGGTAATGGCCAATAAGACCTCCTGTTCCTATTCTTTAAAAACAAACAAAAAACCCAATTGCATAATTTGATGAAGATATAAAAATTCTCAGCTACATTTACAGTGTTGCTGGTAAAGTAAAATGATTCAACCACCACTGAAAACAGTTTGTTCTTCATTACATTGAAAATAAAATTTGTATATGATCTGATAATCTCAGTTCTTATTAAATATCTAAAAGCATTGAAAGTCCTATGTAAGTAAAGTATTAGCACTGTTCACCACAGCATATTGCACTGGAGCCGAGACTTCTAGTGTGGCCTGCACGCTCAGTGGAAAGTTAAGCAGGCACAGAAGAAAAGAAAATCCTGTGCCATGGATGAACAGCGAGGTTACTTTCCTAAGTGAAATTAGCCACAAATATCAGTCCCCCAAGGACAAATACTGTAAGATTCCAACTTATGAAGTATGTAGGGGACAGCGCTGTGGTACAGTAGTTTAACGCCTGCAGTGTCAGCAATGCCATATTGGTGCCTATTCGATTCCTGGCTGCTCCACTTCTGACCCAGCTCTCTGTTATGGCCTGGGAAAGCAGTAGAAGATGGCCCAAGTCCTTGTGCCCCTGAACCCATGTGGGAGACCCAGAGGAAGCTCCTGGCTTTTGGCTTTGGACTGGTGTAGTTCCGGCCATTGCAGCCATCTAGGGGGTGAACCATCAGACAGAAGACCTCTCTCTCTCTCTGTCTCTCCTCTCTCTGTGTAACTCTGACTTTCAAATAAAATAAATAAATCTTTAAAAAAATAAAATATGAGAAGCATAAATTAGAAGGGTAGTTATGGATGGTAGGAAGGGTATGCTATTCAGTAGAAATAGAATTTTTAGATGAAAAAAATCTTAGAAATCTTGTGTGTGTGTGTGTGTGTGTGTGTGTGTGTGTAGACACATGTATATGTCACTTACCTTAGAGTGACAACTGCCCTTGTGAGATACAGTAATCAAAGCTCTCTTCTACCTGACCCTGGATAAGAAAAGGGCTCCCTCTGTTGGTCTTTGGTCACTCTTCAGGTGCTTGTGAGTAGGGCTGGTGGCAGGCTATTCCCAAATGAAGTGGAGCTTCATGACTGGTGTCATCTAGGAATGTTGGGAAAGACCGCAATGCCGTATCTCTTTTCTCTCCCCAGCTTGGTCTCCTTAGTTACCATACTGTATTTCAGTGAGAATACAGGAAGATACAGCAGTCTCTGCTGAGTCTATGACAATGCAATTGTAATTGAATCCTATGAATGGATCCTCCTTTATAAGAAAATGGGCAGCCTCTCA